AACTTGCTCTAGAATATACCGAACGGACAGTGGTGTTCCTCAAGGATCTTGCTTAGGTCCATTGATGTTTATTATGTACATTAATGACTTGCCAGGTTGTATTCCATCCGGTGTGCTATGTTCCATGTATGCGGACGATGTCAAGGTGTACTGCACAGGAAAACCTGTCCTAATGCAAGCTGCTATTGATGGCATAGCAGATTGGGCTAAAAAATGGGGACTTGCAGTTTCTCCGGAGAAAACGGTTGCCCTCCGACTGGGTTCCAACTGCCCCTCGTCTCCCAAATTTTCATTCGAGGGTGTTGAGCTAAAGGAACCGGATGCAATCAAGGACTTGGGCATTTTATATTCCAAGTCTTTATCTTTTCAATGATTATATTACCAAAGCAGTGCATATGGCACAATGCAGGGCGAATTACATCTTAAGAGCATTCTCGTCGCGAAATATGAAAACTTTGTTCCAGCTTTTTGCTGCATATGTGCGCCCCACCCTTGAATATTGTCCCATGTTATGGAGCCCCCATACTCGCCATATGGTTGAACTTATTGAGAGTGTTCAGTCTAAATTTACTGAGAGAATTTTCGCCCGTGGAGGCATGTTTCACATTCGTATAAAGACAGCAGACTGCTAAATACTGGATCAAAGAGGACTGCTCTTGAGATGAGAGGAAACGATACGTACTACGGACTTTCGTTTAGCTAAGCCAGTGTTGGCTCTTGTAGATTTGATTTCGGTTCTTGTTACAAATTTCACAATGGTCGTACTAGGGGTCACAACTTTAGGATAATGAGAGAGAAAACAAGATCAACTGAGTTTCGAAATTCTTTTACCCAAAGAGTTATTACTTTCTGGAACGATTTACCGGTCGATGTTGTTAACTCGAGCTCCTCTAAGGCCTTCAGGAATAAAGTCAGGCGAATTATGATATCTCAGGGTTGGTTTTGAGAACAGAAATTAAACCATACTAACTTGAACAGATCGAGAAGCGATTTTGTAGTGGAAATGAATGATTTTTGATACATCTTGATTTGGAATGATGTTTTTTCACGCTCATAATTCGAGGGGGGAAATGGGTTTTTGTATTTTGTTTGCTTGATGTACATCCTAATGCCACTATGTTTTCTTCTCCACCCTATCTGCTGCAAGTGGAGTTGGATCTCAGCTAAGTCAGCAAAGTTGGCGGACCTACTAAGTTGGTATCCGGAGTTCCTACATGAGCATCTATGGACTTGCAGTGTTGGCGGCCCACTGCCCTTCTGCGCTGACTACCTCTCCACTCATTGCTTCGCAGCTATACCTCTTGTTTGGCCATGAGTATTTTTTACCTTATCGGAGTTTTGTTCCTATACATTGTTATTTACCTCGACCATTGTAACTAGTTTGCCGATAATAAATCATAAATCATAAATCAAAAATCAATCAGGACCAGGCAAAAAAGGCCTACATGGAGCTTCGTGGATTCTCTACCACCCAGTTTTTTCTTTGATGGGATTTATCGTATGGTTTCACATTGGCAATCGAACGGTGCCTATTTCGATTAAATCCGATGAGTATTAAGAAAGTTATGATCGTTTAAAGTGAAACACTCAAAACGCTGAGAACTTTCCGGACAACCTAATACTGGTTCCGGTTGGTAGAAGACTTTGGTATGCTTCTAGAACACATATTTCGCCAAGGGTATCAGAAAAAAGTTTATTCGTCGCTGATTAGCATCACCTCTGTAAGGAGCCATGCATACGGCTCCCACGCAGAGGTGTTGGAAAGGTGTGCTCCCAGATAAGGCTTCCTCCGGGTCAGCAGATGCGCTTCTGCGATCGGGAATGTTTGAACTTTTACTTTCGTCCGTTTATTAATTTTGTTGCGGGCGGCCATCGTCCTCCCTGCCATTGCCCGCTTGCAGAATGCTTCGGTTTTCAGGTGTCTCTTCACGTGTTCTTCACATGAAGAACAATGAATAAATCTTTCATCATTCGAGCTGTACAATATCTGAGTATTGCTGCTCTATCCTGCTTCAGAAAGGGCCCTGCGCCTACGCCCCCCCCCCCTTCGTTCGCGGTCAATTACGACTCCCTCCGTTGTAATCATCACAACGATGGCGTGCCCTGCTGGAAATTGCAAGTAAGTGCCTATACTAGAAAAGGGGGTACTCATAGCGAAGGTCGTTCGCTAAGTCCGTTCTAGGCACTTTGCTGGAAAAAGGGTTCTGTGGAGATCCTTGTAGGTTCTTGGGGTTCTCATTTTGTAGAGTTCAGCGAGTTAACCAGGGATGCCGTTCAGGACGTGGAGCGCTTTTTGAAAACGGTTTTTTGCATGATGTA